AGAAAATAGAAGGGGGTTAGAGAGATGACTCAATGGGTAAGAGTGCTTGGTGAGGACTAGAGTTTGGTTCCCAGCACCCACGTCAGGCACCTCACAACTACCTGTAACTCCAGCTGCAGGGGATCGGATGCTTTTCTCTGACCTCCTCAGGCACCCACCCACACACATGGTGTATGCACACACAAATATAAAACTTTAAAAAATAGATTAAAATTTAAAATTTTAAAGCATAAGTTGAGACTAACTGGGAGAACAAAGGAAAACAGCTAAAATGGTGAAGGTGGTATGGGGGAGGGCAGTGGGGTTCAGGGAACAAGGTGAGAACCAAGTATGATGTATGAAGATGCCATGAAGAAACCCATTGCTTTTCATGCTGGCTTAAAAAAATAACATAACTCTTTTTAAATTCACAAAAACTTAAAGCGTAAGCGGGCAGGAGGTGTAGCTTTACATCAATGGTAGAGCACCACTATAGTTTGTCCAAGGCCCTGGGTTTAATCCATAGCACTGGGAATGGAGGGAGGGAGGGAAGGAGGGAAGGAGAGAGGGAAGGAGGGAGAGAAAAAGGTTGGCTTAAAAATAGAAAGGGAAAAAGTAGCCAGTTTCTTGGCTAAAAGTCAAAATGTCCTTGGGCCTCTTAGTAACATACTCCATTCCAAAGGCCAAAATGTTGAAAGTGTTTGGGAGCTCTTATCTAATCTTTAAAAGATTTTAGGGTTACCTCTTCAGAGGGGGGAATGTTAGAAAGCAAAAAGCCCCATCAATAAAGAAGAGTGCATGAAGTTATCAGAAAAAAGTGATGGGGATATATGGGAGGAGTTGGAAGGGAGGGGGTGGGCATTGATTTTGTTAAGAGACACTTGTACATCCATGTTTGTTGCTGCTCTTTTCACAATAGCTAAGAGATGGAAGCAACCTAAGTGTCCCTCAATTAACGAGTGGATATTGAAAATGTGGTTCATTTATACAATGGAGCTCTACTCAGCAGTAAAGAAAGATGAAATCGTGAAATTTTCAGGTAAAGGGATGGAACTAGAAACTGTTATACTAAGTAAAGTAACAGAGACTCAGAAAAACAAATGACGTGTGTTTTCCCTCACATGTGGATCCTAGCACCAAATCCTTATAAGTGAGTATGTATCCAGACATAACTACAGGAACCAGGATAATGAAAAGGAACCAAGAATGTAAAGAAAAAGAAAGGACCTGAAAGAGGAGAACAGTAGGAAACAGGTGTTAATAAGGGAGATATGGATAAAAATGGGTCTATTTTAATGGGCAGGGGAGGGAGGGCTGTACAAGGAAACTTGGGGATGAAGGGAAAGAAGGAGCTCAAGAGAGGAGGGACCATAGAAGAAGGGTATTATTAAGGGAGAAATGGGAAAAATGGGGAAACCATGGTGGAATGGTTAGACAATAAGAGAGATAAATAATGCCTGGCTGGTTTAAAAAAAAACAGAGGGGACCATATTAGTCCAACAACCTACTAACAAATTGTACATACAAGTAGCTCAAGGAACATAATATATGTCTAGTGAAGGTTTATCTGAGAATGTTTGATTTTTGCCCAAGTTTTATCTACATAGCACATGGCAATTAAAAGTACCAGACTGGTGGAACTAGCCTTCTTGGATGTCTAACAGCCATACTTCGAGGCCTGTACTAATTTGTTCAGAGGGACATAAAGGACAGTTTTTGCTCCTTGCCCTCCTAGGTCGACTAGTTCCAGGGGACTATGAGCATCTCTCAAAATGTCCTGTAACTGTGGTGAGTCACATGTCCTCTTGATCAAGGAGGGCATGGGGACCCCAACAAATGGACTTGAACCGGTGTCCAGTATACAAAGAAGAGGATAAACACAGAGGAAACATTTCCTCCATGCTACCAAGTGAAACCAGCCAGCCGAGAAGGGCCTTTGACTTATTTTCACATAGATGGAACTGGTAAAAGAAAGGAGCCAGGGACTCCTCCCAAGCCCATGTGACCCCTGAGGATCCTCAAAAAAACCTTAAGAGTAAAAATAAATTGGTTTATCTGGGCCAACTGTATAGTCTTAAACACCCAAAAGGAAAGTATAACCAAAGATTCAAGGGGCCAGTATAATTCTTTAAGAGTCCATGTGTATATAGCTAAAGGCTACATAACAAGAAACAATGCCAGACAGGAGATACTTTCCACTGAGTTGTTGGCCAGGGAGGCCCAAGAGACTCCCAGACAGTAACCCAGCATAGAACTGGGAAAATGAACAGCAAACCCCAATCTTATCTAAAGGAATACTGGCAACTGATTGCTGCTAGATGAGGAAGAGCTGATCTTCCTAAAACAAGGAACTCTAGATAGGCTGACTAGACTCAGAGGATCGACTAGCACTGGGTAATGGCTAGGAGCACTGATAACACAGTGGATAATTAACAATGATGACGGAGTATACATGCTACAGTGGGGTGGGAGGGGGGAGGCTATGGGAGGGTGCCATTTGGGATGCAGATATAAAGGTGAATAAGATTGTTTGGGATGTTCTGTATGAATACCCCCCAAAAAATCAATAAATAAAAAATGAATTATATAAAACAAAATAGAAAGGGAAATCTGAGTAATTTACAAGCAAAGAAAAAAAATGCTCTAGTGAAAGATAAAATAAGATGTCCAAGAGAAGAGAAGCAACTGATCCAGCAAGGCTGAAAAAAAAAGGAGAAGATAGCAGAATGGATCACAGAAGTGGTAAAGTTCCAAGCATCATTCAAATCACAGATAAAGCATTACCACTTTTGCAAAACCTTCCCAGGTACACCAAACTGAAGGTTATCTTTCTCTCCTCTATGACTCCATATTTTACCCGTATTTCCCTTTTAACTCTCAGTCCTCCTGCCATATAGAATTGTTACTATTTGACGTATTTTTTCACTTCTTCTACCTACCCTCAACCAGTTGGTCCCTAAAACATTTAAAGGCATATTTTTAGGGGCATTTTCTTATTTATTTCATACACAGTGCTTACTAAATAAACAAAATCTACAGTACAGTGAACTATACAGTGCAGACACTGGTTCTTTAAAAAAACATTTACTGTTGGTGTGTGCACGTGTGTACATGCATGTGTGTATGTCTGTGTGTGTGCCTCACATGGCACACACATGGAGGCCAAAGGACAACTTGATGGATTTGGTTTTCTCCTTCTACCACGTGGCTTCCAAAGACCGAGCTCAAGTTGTCAGGACTGGCAGTAAGCACCCTTATCCACTCAGCCATCTTGCCAGCCCCCTGGAGACTGGTTTTTGCATGTGATAACACCTGTATTATAATTATATATAATAACTTTCACATACTAGCACTTTGTGGCCAAATATATTCAGTTTTGGATTCACCTGTCTTCAACTTGAAGCAAAAAACATCTGAAAAATTGTCAAGGAGATGTCTTTCTAACATCAATGCATTAAAACATTCACCTCAGGAAAGACCACCTATTCTGATTCCTTTGAAAATGGGTTCTAGAAAACCAGATTCTCTATTCAAGGAGATGAGGAAAAGCAATGCTATATGCTCATTTTAAATCAGTCAAAAATTCTGAGGCACATAGATTTGATGTGTAATTTTGTAATGTTCAGACATTTCAATGATCTTATCTTTTTCTCTTGAATTTAGAGAAAACAAGGTATATATAGATAAAAATGATTATCAGTCTACTGAGTAGATCACTGAAGGGCATCATTCATGGCACTAAACTGAGTCGTAGCATTATTAAGGTCTTTGCTCTCACTCCAGCGCTAATCAGTACACTCTGTACATGTCACTGGAAACTACGCTATTAGAATGCTTTTAGCACAGGCACTCTGCCACTGCAATCCACCTCTAGCATCAAAGACATGGCTGTTTTAATAAATAGACATTGAAGTGACACAATACAATTAAGATACAACCCAATACTATCTTATAATCCAATATTAATTTCTTACAAAGAAAAGACAGTCTTTCAGAACCTATCAAGGAAAAGTTTTCCTTGGACATATCGCAAAAATGCGACATGGACTAAATTGTGTTCCCCCAAATTCATTCATTGAGGTCCATAGCCGCTAATGTGATATTTGTAGATCAGCCCTTTGAGATATAAATAGGTTTAAACTTGGTTGTGAAGGTGGGGCCCCATAGGATTAATGCCCTTATAAGAAGAGACCTCATAGAACAGTCCTCCTTCCTTCTCTCTCCTCCCTGTACCCTTCCTCATCTCTCACATGAGAAGCTGGCTCTTTGCAAGCCAGGAGGAGAGCCCTCAGTAGAACACAATCCTGCTAGAATGGCTTAATCTGGCTCACTAGCCTGCAGAACTGTGCAAAAGTACATTTCTGTTTTACAGGTCACCCAGTTTATATATAGCATTTAGGTCTGGAAGTCCAAACTGAGACAAAAACATATAAAGAAATTTGGAGGTAAAACCCTACACAATTCCTTTAACAGTAAAGCGCTGTGAGAAAAGGAATGAATAAGATGCATGGGGGCACTCAGCTGTATACTCTCTGTACAGTTAAGGGACTGGATGAAGTGCTCCCACAGCCACTGCACAGACGTCTCATCTCTACAGTGACTATGACTGTACTTGCAACTGTCATTAATGATACTGCAGTGACAAACGGAGACAGGTAAAAATAATCCCTGAAGGCAGCAACAAGGAGAACAACCAAATGTCATTAAAATTCTCACCACAGCATGCTACAGACTGCAGGATGCATCACTGCAATGAGCACTGACAGACTCTGTTTCAGAAATGGAGGTCAAAAGGAAATACATGACAGTCCGGTTGCCATCTCTTTGTACCAGAGTTAAGATGTACAGCAAGATGGGAGGAATACAGACACTACAGAAGGGGAATACCGCAGTTGCAGAAGACACTGGGCTGCCCCATGTCCTTCCTACTCTTCTTTACAGTGTGCAAGGTTTATTTTCCCCAAGATCAAATCTAAGTAAGTACCTAACTGCTTAGAGAAAAGAGAATATGAGATACTAACTCGGGAAATAATACTGTTGTCAGTAAAAAATGCCTCTGCCATTTTACACCGTTAAATGCTGAGGAAGTTAAAAAAAAACATAATAATTAGTGCAACAACTCGATTTAGTCCATTGTACAAATATTGTAGTGTAACTAGAACAAAAATACACTTGGGGAAAGTCAGCTAAATTTTCTTATGCGTTTTTTTTTTCTTTACAGCCTTTTAATTTCTGCATTGAACACACCAACTTGCTGGAATAATAACAGTAGTAATGCTTACTCTTGTACATTTTAGCGGACACATATCCACCAAGGATTCCCAGAAGGGCCCACAGCACAACAGCACAGGTCATTAAAGCACTTAGATCAGCAGGGGTAAGAAAAGCAATGACAGCCAGAACTAAAGGGAGAAAAAAGCAACGGGAAATGCATGAGAACAGATTCCAGAGTACACGGAACTTCCTAAAACTGCAGCACAACCTCATTAAGACATGTGAAACCATACTCAAGGAACTTGTCTAACATAAGGTTATTTCAATCACACTGCAGATATATAGTATTCACTTACCTACTTCTTTGACGATTTCTTCTTAACTGGAAAGGTTAGGTTTTCAGTTAAAAGTAAATGGACATTAATTTGTCTAGTTGAATTACTTTGTAATTTTAGTAAGTCAGAATTGCACATCTCCTCCTTCCCTACTCCAATAGACACTCATGAAATAGCACATCATTTTTCCCCAAATGTCCTCCTGTTTCTATTTTGTCAACATGAAGGAAAAAAAATCAAAGTGAGTCTTGATTTCAGAAACAAAACTGCCATCAAATTTGAATTCTGAAACTATCATTGACCTCTGAAACACCTAACAAGTCAGTGTTCCTCTCTCTCCCCCACCCCTCCCTCCCCTCACATAAACTGGATGTGGTGATGCATGCCTATAATCTCAGCACTTGGGAGGTAGAGGTAGGAGAATCAGTTCACTCTCAGTTACTCAGTGAGTTTCAGGTCAGCCTGAACTATATGAAATCCTGAATGAATGAATGAATGAATGAACGAATGAATGAACAAGAGAATGAATAGAGTGTTATTTCCCTTAAACATTGAGAGTTCAAGGAACATACTTATTTTTAACATTTGTGGAGCTCAGGACAGGAGTTCGAATGACAGTTACACCTTACGTTTTAAGAATCTTTCATAGTAGGAACTCAGTCTGAATATTCATACTCAGCAAAGAGCAGCCTCAGGGCACTGGCTGGACTCAAGAAACAGATCTGAGGAAGAAGACCAAGCAGCATCTGGAAGTGGGTTTATGGTCACGGGCAGAAGATGTGGGTTTCTGGGTACTTGCAGTGGCGTGGGTATAGGATAAATCTCTCTGTGTCCTGCAGATTCCCTTTCTGAGCAGAGGGGACAGTGCAGAGAGCCAAGTAATGCTTCTCAACTAGGCACACTCACTTCGTGGTCACTCTCCAGGCAGTCCTCGTTGTAAACACGGTGAGGTAAAACAAACAGTAAGTGCTAGCCATTGTGGAATCCAGATAGGAAAGATAAGGGTACACCTGGTACAATTACAAATATATTTTATTGAGTCTTTGAGAATTTCCTACAATGTATTTTGATAACATTCAGACTCTCTTAGCCATCTATTCCCTCACCTTATTATCCCCCATTCCATGCCCTCTAGTATTTTTTAATTGAGCTTTTTAAATTCCATACAAGAAAAAGAAAGAAGCCATTCCATTTGTTCACTCTGATTGCTGGGAAGGTTGCTCAGTCAGTAAAGTGCTTTCCTTGAAAGTACAAAGACCCAAGTTAAACACCAGAACCCCAAAGCTGGGCACAGTAGAGTATGTTTGTAATCCCAGCCCTGGGGGAACAGAAGCAGATCCCTGGAGCTTATTGTGTATTGGCCAGGCAGCCTAGCCTACTTGGCAAATTCCAGGCCAGTGAGAGATCTCCTCTAAAATTATTTAATTCCTACACTTAAGTATGCCTTTCAAAATGTTAGCCGTTAGCCTTTAATCCCAGCACTCAGGAAGCAGAGGCTGGTGGATCTCTGAGTTCGAGGCTAGCCTCATCTACACAGCGAGTTCTGGGCTAGCTGGGGCTACAGGGAGACCCTGTCTCAAAAAGAAAAGAAAGTTAGTCTTTGTTTCATGAGCTCCTTTACCCCACGGAAAATATGATTACACTTTTGTAATGATTTTCATAGATACATCTATCTTGCAAGGCAAGGAATACATATTTGAGCTTCCAGCAGATTATTTATAACTGGAGAAGCTATGGAAGATCTTTGATATAGGAACATACACAAACTCACATCCTGAATATAGAAAAGATAGAAGTGCAAGTACTGGAGCTGGAGAGATGGCTCAGAGGTTAAGAACAGTGATTGTTCTTGTAGAAGACCCAGGTTCGAATCCCAGCACCAACATGGCAGCTAACAACTGTCCAAAACGCCAGTTCCAGGGGATCAAACAGCCCCTTCTGTCCTCCGCGGGCATTGCATGACACAGGTGCACTTACCTACACACATGCACATA